GAGAGTCGGGGGCCTGTGAGGGGTCGTGGCTGCCGGGTGGGGACCCTGGAGGGGAGGGAGCCGCTGTCTGGCCGACCGTCTGGGTCCCACCACCCAGAGGGCGCCACAGGGGCCCCGCTTCACTCCTTCGCGGCCTTTCAGCGCCCCCGCGTGGGAGCTCCTGAGCCCGATTCCCCTCCTAGAACTCGGAGTTGGCGGAGCCAGGCGGGGCCAGAGCGGGTGGTGGACTGGGCCATCAGGACGCCGGGTGGGTAGCCTTTTGGGGGTGGCCCGCCGCGGTCCCCTCTACAGGGTGGGATAAAAGTGCCCTAGGGTGAGTGATTGGCACAATTGCCCCCTGTGCTTGGACCCTTCCAGCCGCAATGGCTAAGGCCTCTGAAAAAGGCAGCGGCTCCCCATCTTTGAGGTTACATTCATGCATTTATTCAGTGATTCTGGATTTCCTGAGCACGTTACATCATGGGAGTTGCCCGGGCACAGGGATGAAAACAGACAAGCGTTGTAACTGTGTTAACACGGGTGGAAAAGAAACAGAGTCCTGCCCTCACCCACGTTTGCATCTCGGGGCACTTCCGACACTTGTCCCGGACAGAACCCTGAGTTGGGAAAGTGGGTCTCTGCACCCAGAGTGCTAGGGAGCGCACGGAGCTGCTGCCCTCCGTGCCCAGACACTGTGTGGGCAGATTTCTCTGCCACAGCCGTGACAGATGTTCGGGCCTTGCTTTTGGCATTTCTAGCCCCTCAGTTATGCCCGGACTACCTCTGGGAGGGTCTGAAGGTATCAACCGGTTTCGGAAAGAAATTCTCTGTCCTGAGAATGATTCAAAACAGTCCCTGACCTTGCCTTTGTCACCAGGCACCTCCCCCACCATCAAAGGGCCCTGGGAGCTACTCCCCCTGCCTCCCTTCTCCATCACCTTTCCCCATGTGGCCTGGACCCACCCACACCACCCTTTTGCAATTAGGCTCTATAGCAGTGGTTCTCAACCTCATCATTGGTAACAAAGAAACAGAATTTCCAGAGGATGAGGCCCAGAAATCAGGATTTTAACAAGATTCCCAGGTGACTCT